GCTACCTATTTACAAAAAGCCAATTCCACATTTCCGGAGTTTTTGCATAGCTCCGACTATCAACGGATTAACGATTTATAGATTTGATCAAAATAATTATTTTACTATATGCAACCTAATTAGAATTAGAGTGTTCGCAACATTTCCTATTCGAATGCCGCATTTATTATAAAACACTTTAAGTTGTAAATTTTTATATAAACGTAGTAAAGCCCTAGGCTCTTTTAAGCAGTAAGAAAATTTAATTGAATTGAATAATGAGATATTTTAATCTAAATCTGTCTTTGCATATTTTTCAAACCGGAAAATGTTATGTATACTTAGAGAACCAACGAAGCAAAACATTTCCATCAAAAATATGCTAAGCAGACATGGACGATTACTTAAATTTTTTTTTCGTTCTAAAGTAATTTAAGTCATTTTTCCCTATGACCTTCTATAATCAATTATATAAATAGGCAATCATGTTTCCTTTACACCCCTTTTACGGCTAAACTGTACTTCTAAGGTATAAACAATTATATATCATTAGAAAGGTATTTTGATGCTGATGTGCAGGCAATTTTTAAAATTTCAAATTAGTTTAAAATAGAGCGAAAAAATCAATTCAAAAGTCTCACCAATACCAATGCCATACATGTACATGGTTGGGGCGGAAATGCCTCCTAAATGTATGCTTTAATAGTGATAGTGAATTAATGAAACGTGCTAAGCAGCAGTTTAGGAATAAGATGTATGTATGTATGTACATGAATAGATTAGCCTCCAACAAGGATGAAGATAATTTTGAGTATGGAGAAGAAGAAAGGGATAAATACAGAAATTAAAATAAAAGTAAACAAACCTAAAGATGATGAAGATGAAGATGATGAAGATGAAGATGAATATGGATATGAATACGAATATGAATATGAATATGAATATGAATATGTATATGAATACGAACATGAACATGAACATGAACATGAACATGAACATGAACATGAACATGAACATGAACATTAACATGAACATGAACATGAACATGAACATGAACATGAACATGAACATGAACATGAACATGAACATGAACATGAACATGAACATGAACATGAACATTAACATGAACATGAAGGTGTAGATAAACATAAACATAAACATAAACATTAAAAGCGATAGAGACAAAGATAGAGAGGAAGAAAGTGATAGGGATAAAAAAGAAATACAACTGAAGAATGTGCGATGTTATATTGTGATGTGTTATGCTACATATGTTATGCTATTGAATCTAATGCTATTCTATGTTATGTTATGCTAAGTACTAAGCTAAACTCCCCTCCACTTAACCCATTCCAACAAATTTTATTTCAGCTCAACTCAACTCACATAAACTATCCTTAATTTTAGCGGTTGAATTTCAACCGCTGGGCGAACACTAGTTATTATAAATTCTCAAATGCTAATAAAATTCTGATACAAAGAGAGAAAGACTCAAAGCTCTATCCTCATACCATTTACCATGATCCAATAATTAAAGGTTTGCTCAATAGTGACATTCGAGTTTTAACACTCCCTTAACTCCCTTACAAAAGCTTTGCACACACACACGAACCCACATACAGTGCCTTGCTAAGGGAGCCGATTTTGTCAAGAGGTCCGTTTTCTGAGCGAACCTTTTATTATTGAATCATGACCATTTACGAGGTATCGAATGTAAACTTTGAAAGCTCCTCCTGAAAAACTCAATTTTCAAACTTAGCATAGTATGGTTTGGATGCGTCGGTATGATAGCATACATACATATGTATTTCACGGACGTGAATTTGAAATAACTCGAGTATGTTACTAATATGTGTTCTTATTTTGAAGCAAATCGGACAAAAATGGGATTTTCTAGCATGACTCGACCTCTGCGCAACATGCTCAAAAAATTAACACTTTGTGCACTCGTCCTACTAAGCATCTTTCCAACCAGCTGCAATCATTCAAATTGGAGAAAATTGCTCCCAACTGATTCTTGCTTGCCTATTTATTTATTGGTAAGCAGTGTCCGCTTCCACTCCACAATGCCTGGGTTCAAACCCTGGTCAAAGCAACATCGCAAAAATATAGAAATATAGGTTTTTTCTTAACAGCGGTCGTCCCTCGGCAGGCAGTGGCAAACCTCCGAGTGCCATTTCTGCCATGAAAAACAGCTTCTCATAAAAATATAATCGCCGTTCGGAATCGGCGTAAAACTATAGGTCCCTCCGCTTTGTGTGACAACATCAAGGCGCACACCACAAATCGGAGGAGAAGCTCGGCCAAGCACTAACATATGTGTAAGCGCCAATATATTATTATTATTATGAGAACATATTGTATGGAACTGAAATCGCCATAACTCGACTCTGAAGGCACCTAACGGGTTCATTTCTCCTTATGTAGCGAATATATATTCTGTGTTTGACGAAAATCGGACCATAAGTGCGATATTTTAGCATAGCTCGACCCCTGCACCACCTATCGGAAATCTTAGGAGAGCATTGTTCCCAATTGATTCATGCTTGCCTATTTATAAGATATAAAGTTGTCGTATAATTATGGCGATATTTGAGGGATTCACAACGGTGTCGTAAATGTCGTATTCTGGTATGTCGTAAACTTTAAAAGTTTAAATAAATGTTTATAGAACTTGAAACCACAACCAACTTTTTTTTTTACACTTCGAGAATACATAATATGACTTTGATGGTACTTTTCGAACCCCCTTAATATATTTTTTAGGCGTTTAAAGTTTGCGACACACAATAATACGATACTTACAACACCGTTGTGAATACCCCAATCGATTTCAATGGCGCATATTCATAGTCATATTTAGTTCACAACTAAGTCGAAACTATCCTAAGTTATAACTAAATCTATTCATAGTCGCCTTAGTTTCGACTTTTCTGGCTAAGTGCCAACTTTAAATTTAGTTTCGGCTGCAGCTGCAATTAAGTCGTAAGAACGCAAAACTTATTTATTATTATTCATACATTTATTTTTACCGGCAAAACTGTTGATTATATAGAAAAACGTTATATGAACAGATTAAAGGAATTGTAATTTTCAATTTTTTTAAATTTGTTTGAGCAAAATCGGACTAGTGGTTCTCGAGTTATGTCAAAAAAAAAAGACCACCAAAGGTGACAATTTCCCCTATATGATAGTTACTAACTTCAAATCGATATATCTCGATTCCTAGACATGACCCAGCGAAACGCCGGGACACGTATAACTTCTTTTTTACCGATATAACTTTCCCCGGTAGTTTGAACCCTTCCCGATCACTGACCCCTACCATTTGTCTCACAGTGTAATGAATGATCTCCAATTGAAATTTACAAAGAGCGATCCATTTGAATGGGAAGATGAAATTAAATCCGTTTTACAATTCGAATAAAGCTACATCACAATTTTATAATTGGAATGATTTAGATAAATTCTCAAATAATAAGTCAATTTCAAGCTTACTCTCTTAAAGTAAATAAACAGACAGCATAAACAGACAGCAACGTTGATTCGGATCAACTCGTTAATTCGGAATTATCTCAGGAATTAACTGCAGTTGATCCGGATAGGAATCCAATTTAAAATGAATAAGAACTTATTTCGGTGACTGCATTACCGACGACAGGGTGGATGTCTATGCTAGTTTTGCAGCTTCTGTGTGTTCTACGCTAACTGAGCAAATAAAGCAACCGATTCCTTCATCCGCGGTAGCCGAGTGGTGAGAGCTGCGTACTACAAGCCTGTAGGTCCCAGGTTCGATCCTCGGTTGGAGCGATTGCACAAAAAAATTTTGTTTTTATTATTTCTTTTATTTTTCTAAATTTTATTTGATTTATATATTTAATTGTTTTTTAATTTTATTTTCTTTGTTTTATTTTATTTCACATTTTTTATTTTATTATTAGTTAATTTAAATTTTTAGAGCTTAATGTTACTAAAAAGTAAAAAAAACTAACTAAAAACAACCTAAAAAAATATAGAAGTTATAAAAGAATCAATAAAAAAAATTAACTGAATATTCTACTGGCCGTGAGATTCGAACCTACGACCTCGCGACTCGTTAATCCGCATTACTGCCGTCTGTCAAGGCACAATTTTGATCAGATCAATTGCGGCGTTAATCCGGATCAACGGTGCCGTCTGTCTATGCTTTTAGTGCATAACATTTAGATACGTGTTTGTATGTTTCACAGCATGCTTCACATCACTGCGGTTGTTCTGGCTATTTCACACAATTAGCAAGAAAATTTTACCTTATTCTTTTGCGTAAACATGCAATGAAAGTAAAAATTACATAAACGGATGATCAAACTTGACATTATTTAATAAAAATGTCATTCGATAAATTGATACATTTTCACACTCGTTTTGCTATGTCGTAAAACTAAGGTAAAACTACTTAGTAGAAGTCTGAAATGCGTCTATGAATAGAAGGGAATTTTAAGTTGGTACTTAAATTTAAGTTGCATCTTTATTAGTTTCGTCTTAGTAGCTGGACTATGAATACGCGCCAATGTGTTTAAGATAACATTCAGATAATAATAATAGATTGGCGCTTACGCAATATGTTAGTGTTTAGCCGAGCTTCTTCTCCAATTTGCGGCGTACGCCTTTGTGTTGTCACAGAAAACGGAAGGACTAACAGTTTTACGCTGACTCCTATCGGCGATTGTATTTTTATAAGAGGCTGTTTTTTCATGGCAGAAATACACTCGGAGGTCTGCCATTGTCACGCGTTAATACAGGGTGACAAGGAATAACGGCGACAAACTTCAACGAGGTCGTACTCGTGAATGCACCAACATAACTGTAAAATTTAGATCACGTTGAATTCTCTACTTAATCTAGTTATCAGTCATTTAGTTATCAGTATTCATTACGCTACCTAATTAAAAGTTTTGAAATGTCGAACAAAAGAAGTGCTATTTTGGAACTGCATCGCCAAGAAATGCGACAATGTGAAATTATTCGGTTGCTCAACGTTCCTCGCCAAACTGTTTCCAAAGCAATCCAGTGGTTCAATGAACTTGGCCATGAAGGTGATCGCCCGGGACGTGGAAGAAAACGAACTGTCAATACACCAAGGATCCGCCAGATAATTAAAAAGCGAGTTCAGCGAAATTCAAGGCTTTCAATGAGAAAAATTCCCCGCGAAACTGGTATTGGTCGTGAAACTGTTCGTCAAATTGCGAAAAAGGAACTTCACATTAAGCCGTACAAAATCCCAAGAGCGCAGTTGCTTACGGAAGAAAACAAAAAAGTACGGCTGGAAAGATGTCGACAACTCTTGCGTCGTGCCGCAAATGCTCGCTGGGAAAAATTCTTTTCACTGATGAGAAACTGTGTACCATTGAGCAAGTCGTCGAGCACCGCTAAAATCTCAAATCTGTGATGGTTTGGGCTGGAATTTGTTTATCCGGCAAAACACCTCTGATTTTTGTGGATCAGGGAATTAAAATCAACAGGGAAGTTTTCCGTCGTAACATTTTGGGGGCTGTGGTACTTCCTTGGGCCCAAGAGCATTTTGGCGAACAGGAATGGACATTCCAACAGGACTCGGCTGCTGCTCACAGGACATCAGAAGTTCAAGACTGGTGCAAAGACAATTTTCCGAACGTTATCACAGCTGCAGAATGGCCACCGTACTCACCAGATCCTTATCCCATGGATACGGTGACCATATTTATGAGAGCCGAATACGGGACAAAAATAATTTTGCAAATTCTTTCCACCACAGCTTACAGATCTGAAAGCCTCCTTCAATGAGCCTAGATGTATTAGCCCTGAAACAGCATCCTTTTAGTAAAATCAAAAATTTGTAGGATAATTTTCTCGAGATTTTTACCCCGAAAAATTTGTTTAAAAAATTCGTTAAATTTTAGTATAATAAAGCGCAATATTAAGTCGCTAAGGCTTGCCATTAGTTTTTGGCAATTTTTGTTGACGGTGTTGCGTATTTTTTCGTACAGAGTAAGTGAGATATTGCAGAATTAATTTTTATAGTTTTTTGGCACAAAGTTGGTAATTTGATATTATATGATTTTTGTTAGGAAAAGAGCTTTACTTTCATAAATAATAAATTTTAAATAAACTAAGGAAAATATCCAAAACTTACTAAAATGTCGAGTGCTAATTTTTATTTTAGTCACTGTATGTTATCCTCGATTCGAATCACAGGCATTCAGATTAGAAAATAATAACTGTTTATGGAGAAAATTACGATCACATACCAACATCACTTAAAACTCGTTCATAGACATGCCATTTTAATGAGCTCTTAAGTGGGCGAAATACCAAATACGGGACATTAAAAGAAATACAGAACATTTAGCGTCTCGTATAAAATAAATAAATTAACAGGACAATGGGTAATAAAAGAGGACTGTCCCGTATAATACAGGACGGATGGTCACCGTACCCATGGATTACAGCATTTGGTCAATTTTGGAGACCAGAGCTTGTGCTAAGCCACGCAAAAGTTTGGACTCCCTAAAGCAATCACTGCGCCGTGAACGGGATCTTATTTCGCTAGAGGAGCTGCGTCGTTTTAAACACAAATTAGTAATGCCTAGTACTATTGTAATTATACATAAGTTGTTTCTTTAAATTTTTCTAAAATTATAGAAAAATATGCAAAAATGCTTGTCCCCGTTATTTATTGTCACCCTGTATGTTGTATTTCGCTGCCAACGCCGCTGCGCACGTTCGGCAAAGCGAATCAAAGGAATAAGACTGCGCTGCAAGACACACTTCGCAATATGTGATACTGTGAGTTCGCCCGCCACTGCTTCAGATACATATTCTATGAAAGTATTAGTATCTGTGCTTAAGCAATTAGAAATGAATGTAAGTTTTACCCTGATATGCGGATTTATAAGTATTCTTGCTAGTTCTCTTGATTCCAAACGGCGTGAAGGCGAGCACTTTCTAATAATATCGTCGCAAATTTGTTTATTATTTAAATATATGGGTTGTATTGCGTCAGCTGTTGCCTGAAAAAGAAGAAAACAAATTCTTTACATTAAAATGGTTGTGAAACCTTTTCGAAAAACATTTTCATCACACACTTTTTATAACCACATTACAAAGAATACTTATTCAACTCTAGCCAATAACAACTTTATCCTACAGGCTTAGAAACGATATAGCCGCTCGTTGTATATACATTTTAGACTATTCCCATGCTTGAAATTGGGCGGAAGCATATTATTTTGGAAGCCTTGTAATAATAAAATCTCTGGTGGTTTTGGATTATTTAATTTAAAATGTTCTTCCAACTCAGTGTGTCATGAACTCAAGGTATTTTAATAATAATTTCTTATATTAATGTTACGCTTTTATTTTTGCGTTTAATCGCGCATTTTTTTGCAGATTCTTCAAAGCTGAAAAATCATACATTCATTATTATGACCTTACGCTAATTCTAAAATCGGAAATGGAGAGATGTAGGAACTGCAGTCTGGAATACAGAAGTGTTATGGAAACTTAAGGAAAATAGGTAAAATTCGGAGAAACAACTGAAAAGTCTGTTGAAGTATTATCACTGATATCACTGATATAAATAAATATTCCAACCAACAAGTAGTTAAAAAATACAAGTTCTAATGCTCTGGTAAATACTCTCGTAAAACTAGTAGGGGAAAAACAATGAAGTGAAAATTGAGGCCCAAAACGAAGATATTTCTCGTAAAATTACCAATAAGTTTGATAATTTACACTTATCAACTTAAAAGTAGTCGAGGACTAGAAGTTGTCATAAAAGGCATCGAGTCCAGCGTGGACTCACAAGATATAGAAAATGCTCTTAGAGAAGAGTGTTTTAAGGTATGCAGTGTTTTCAACATCAAAAATTAAGAAAAAATTCCTCAACCGACGTGCAAAATAGAGTAGGGCTGAGGATCTGACCCGGGTCTTCGAAAAAATGTGTGGGGGTAAAATTTAAGTGCATTTACGATACTATAGCGTAAGCGAACGTACATAGGAAATGCCATATGGTGAAAAGTTATATTATGTATCCGTATCATAACAATAATTTTACGTTCGTAGAAGTATTTTTCCCGCGGCCACACTTTATAACCAGTTTTTATTTGATCGGTTTGGATTTTCATTTCCCAATACCAGGCGCTCCTACATGTGAAGCAACAAGTTTTCCATTTCTACGCACAAAATTGTTTGTATATTTAAATTTTAAAATTTCCCAAAATTCTACTTTGTGAGTCTCCAAGGCCTCTACAAACGAATTAAAAAGTTCTAAGAAACAAACTTGTCGATGCCCTCTGAACCAAAGTACCCAAAATCTTAACGAAATCTTTAGAAGTATCTCATTTCTGTAACGATTTTTTTTTACGAATTTTCAAAGAACATTATATGAAATGGTTGACAAGAAGTCGTAAAGAAATTTCTGTACGAAAAATAAAGTAAATCCTGCAAGAAATTGATCACATAGTAGCATTATTTTCATTGCTTCACCGATTTTTTTCCAAAATTTCGTAAAAGGATCGAAGTGTGCACAGTTTATTTTATTTTAGAAAATTCGGCAAAAAATCGGATGAGATCTTTACGAATTCTTAAAAATTCCTCTACAATTCAGAATACTCTGAAAAAATTGTATGTATGTAAGTGTGTAAGTAGGTTTCTAACTTTTTCATATTTTGGCGCGTTGGCAGAAGTTACTGCCGGCTAGAAGTGTCTGGCAATACTTGATAGTGTTTTTAAAATATTAATATTTAATATTCTTTAATTACATACATATGTATGTACACATATCGACACCTGTAGTGCAATTCACTAACTTTTAACGTTACGATTTTGTAGTTTGCAGTAACGATTGTGTTATTCTGGAGCTCTTTTTTAACGACACTAAACAGCTGACATTTTCTTTTTATTTAAATAAAAGAAATGTGGCATCACAGCTTAAGGAAACGTCAAAAGATGCGAAAAGCACAAAGAGGAATGACGAAAATCAAATAAATTCCTTGCTTGCAAAGTGGTATACACATAGTTTTCAGGATATTTTAATATATTTTTACAAAACGTAAGAGTGCAATGGGGTATAGTCGTTGCGCTGGGTATGCAGTTACAGTTGCATGGCTATACACCAATGATGGGCACACCTAAATACTTTTGTACTTAACGTACCACTTTGGGAACTAAATACATACACAAATACTTAGTATTTTGAGATGACTAAAT